CAATAAAATATAAAGTTGTATTTATAGATATATTGATTACAAATAACTAATTAGTTCTCACATGAAATATTGTAAGCAGTTTGTGGTCTCCTTATCTGAAAAAGGCTATTGACTTATTGGAAAGGGTTCAGAGGAGGACTACTAAGATGATTTCTGGTATGAAGGGTTTATCTCAGAGATAGTTTAAGATTTCGTAACTTGTTTATCTTGAGAAAAGAAGGGTATGAGGTGATCTTATTGATGTTTACAAGATTATGTGGTTGATCTATAGTACAAAGATGTCTAACTTTGTGGTATATTCTGATGATAAGAAGATGAGAGGACATAGTTCAGGATTTGGAAAAAACAAGCTAGGCTGTAGTAAGATGCTTTTATTTTTGTAGCAGGTTGGTTGACTTATGGACTAAGTTGCATATGGCAGTAGTGGAGGTCAGATCTTCAAAAGATTTTAAGATGGGAATTGATGATTTTCTGAAAATTAAAGGGAGGGTTTAATAAATGTTTACTTTTTTTCAAGATTGTATGAGCAAGGAGAGCTTTGAAGAACCAAATGATGTTCATATGCTACATTTGTTTGCATAGAACAGTTATGTAGTACATAATTGGATTGTTTCAGAAGTATTTATTGTGGTATTTTGTTTTGAAAAATTAAAAATAAGGATATTAATACTGTAAAAACATGCTATGTATTTGAAGAAAAACAATTTTAACAAATTAACACATTCCAACAACTGTATCTATCCAAATAGTTTTTGTATATGATATGAAGGTTTAGCTGAATTAGAAAAAAAAAGTTATTATATTAAATATTTGAATACATATAATTGAGTGTTAAGTCAGGACACGGTAAAATTGTCAGATTTAATTATATAGTCAACCATTATGGCGTTAGTAGTAATTTCTATAACAATCCTGTATTCTTATCTCAAGTGAATCATCATACATTTAGCCATATAGATTAAGCTTTCCAATTTTTTTATAATTTTTTTATGTTAGTTACTGTTGATTCCAGTACACAGTAAATTAACTGAATCATTAGGGTTGCATTCAGAACCATCATGGAATTATTTTAGTTCGTGATTAGACTAGTTTTAGTCACGTACAGAGCAAGTGGTCCGTTTGGTTAACATTTCTGTTGATTAATAAATGATTAAGGTACTGTACCTGTAAGAAAAAAAAAGATATATGTTTGTATTTTTACGTAATAAATTTGTGATTTGTTACTGTATTCAGTGTAACAAATACATATGTGGAGTTTTGATACAGCTTATTTTCTCTATGAATTCTTCATTTATCATTTCAACTTTTCCTTAACAGCTTGTAACTTGTATGTTATATTGGAAAGGTGGTGGCATTTTTATATAACTTTTTTAAGGATAATTTGTATTCTTATTGCATTACATAAATAATTTCCAGGGAAGAAAAGATAATTCATTTTTGCTTTTTGTGTGTGTGAGAGGAGAGTTTTTGTTTGTCTGAAACTGTTTAGTCAGTGAAGGAAAACAGGTTACTAGTCTTGCAAACTAGTTTGACCTAATTAACTCACTTTACATGGGTTGTTGATTAAAATGTTGATTTGCTCCTGAACAAGTTCTTTGGGTGGAAAAATGAAATGTAATTGGTATGTAACAGTGAGTCATAAAGTGTGTGTATATATACATTAGAAACAGGTCACACTGAAATTGTGTGAAAAATGCTCCACACATGATTCAGAACATGCATGGTAAAATATTCAAGTTCTCATTCTACAGTGTAACTAATCTTCCAGAAATTATTGTTAACTTCTTATGGAGTTGTAGACCATACTATGCACAGTTTATGTGTAATATACTAGGACACATACAGGTCCACAGAGCCTATGTTTGTGATCATGCTTGTCACTTTAATGTCAACAAAATGTTTTGATAGTAGCATAGGAAGAAATTGTTTTTTTTAATTTACACTAAGGACATTTAATGTAGAGGGATAGGAGGCTTGCATGATATAGTAGGTAACGTTTTAACGAACAGGTTCACTATGTCTATTTGCATTTAGTTTGTTGTTATTATCTATATAAATTTACTGAAACCTATTCTGGTAAAAGCTTATTTTAATGATTGATGTGCAAGGCATAGAAGTTGAACTTAATTTGGTCTATAAGGATGACATATAATTATGCCAAACAATTTCTGTTGTAATAAGGAAAGCTTTGTAAAAATAGTAAGTACCAGCAATACCCCTATAGCATTTGCTTAGGTTGCACACACACACACACACATGTATAAGTACTAACATGGAAGAAAAGGTATATGTAGGTTACACACACACACACATGTATAAGTACTAACATGGAAGAAAAGGTATATGTAGGTTACATACACATATGTACAAGTACTAACATGGAAGAAAAGGTATATGTAGATTACACACACACACACACACACACACACACATGTATAAGTACTAACATGGAAGAAAAGATATATGTAGATTACACGCACACACATGTGTATAAGTACTAACATGGAAGAAAAGGTAATATGTAGATTACACACACACACACATATGTATAAGTACTAACATGGAAGAAAAGGTATATGTAGGTTACACACACACACACATATGTATAAGTACTAACATGGAAGAATGTTCTGGAAAATTGTTCTTTATTTTCTCCAGAAGTCAAAAAAAGAAAATAATGAAGCTTTAGCTGGTTTACCAGAAGGTGAACTTCAGAAACTTCTTGAAGAAGCTGTAACTTTTAATAGACCCAGCAGTGAAGATAGTTACTTGCTGCAAAAACTAAAAGCAGAACATGCAGAGTTATGTAAGGATGTTAGACAACATTCAACATCACTTAATCCAGAAGTATCAAGTAGCAGCTTTGACACTTTCTCTCAAGCTGGTGGTAGTGGAGAAGCTTCCAAGAGAAGAGATGTTTGTGTGAGTAAGTTCTTCCATGACCCCAATACTTGTAGGGATATTATTAGAAGTGTTGATCTTGTAGAGCAAAGAACTGGATTTTCGGGAAGGAACAACGAAGACTATAGTACGTTTGTGTCAGGGTCAAAGCAACACGAATCCAAGTCTTCTGTAGACTTGACCTTTATGAAAACTTTAGATTCTTGTGTTATGATGCAACCATTAGAAAAGGACAAGGGGAACAAAGATTATAGAGCTAAACACACCAATTCTCTATCGGACTCTCCTTCAGAAGCTAGTTTTCATAAAGATGACACTTTTCAAATAACTAGGACAAATGGATTATCTTTTGAAATTATTTCTTCTAGTTTAGATCCAATGAATATTAGGAGCAATATATTAAAAGATCAGTTCAGTGCTATAGATCTACATAAAAAGTCTGTGTATATTTCTTCTCATCTGAGTGATCTCGTTAGTCATGAACTTCTAGATTTTTCAAAACTTATAGATAGTTCATATTTAGGTGTCAAACAGAAACCTTGTCATCAAAATTCCTTCACTGACACTCAGCAAAAGATGGATACAACCACAAATCTTGTCAGTTCTTCAGAGTATATGCAAGATCTAAAAAATAGTTATAATCGTCCAGTAGATTTTGAAATGAAAGAAATGAAAAAAACTAAATGTATGGAGGAAGCAATAAATGAAACATCAATGCTTAAAAGATTTTTGTCAGTGTGCAATAATCACTACGCTGGATGTAAAAGTGATGGTGATAAAGAAGATATTCAGTTTGATAAGGTGAAAGTCAATGAGAATACAGCAGTGCTCCCTAAGGTAATGTATACTTTTTATAAAGTATTATCAAATGCTTAGATTAGAATTTATGATAGTGTCATACAAATCTGTCTTAGAAGTGTATTCTACATAGAATAAAATAATGCAAATTTGTACATTTTAGTTATTTTATGCAAAAACTAAACTAATAGCACCTGTCCAGTCCAGATTCTATATCAGTATGATTAGATTTTGTTCTATAGTGAACGACCTTTATTTAAAGATTTTTACTATAGAGTTTTGTTTTTGATGCAAGTAGACTACAGGCTTGGAAGGATTTATACTCTTTTTAATTAGTCACCATGTATGCCTATTGTGCTTTTTAAACATGATACTTTCAAAGATACATAATGTGGTATTTTTTGGTTAGAATTGTTTTCTGTCAGATATTATCTTATTGTGCAACATGGACCTTTATATCTGTTTATTTGATATCACTGTATGTATCTACCTAGTTTGTGATGTCTCTCAGTTGGTATTGTTTAAGTGTAAGGTGTTTTATATGAAAAAAAATATACATTTATAATGTACTTTCACTGAAATAGTGTGAACATTAAAGCTCAAACTTATTTGATAAACATGATAATTTTTCACCAAAACAAAAGTATTTGGAAAGTAGCTCTAAAATAACACTTGTTATTTTAGATGACAAACATAACATTATACTATATAGCAAATTAAAAGTACATAATAATGTGAATATATAGTGGTTTTTCATCAAAGGCAAACTAACATCCTAATTAAAACCTAAACATTTAAAATAAAATGAACTTTTGATTATAATGTGGTAGTACTATTTATGAAATTAATGTTAATGAGTGTTTAAACATGCAGTTCAAATGGCTAATGATTTTTTTCCGTGTGAATATGCTTTATATTCTGAATGGTGTATCACATGTAGGTATTTGACTGTGATGCAGAGAACCCTCTCAGTAGAGAAGTCCAATCTGAAACAGTCTATGTTCAACCACAGATCAGGAACTTGAGATTGAGACCTTTATGTTCTAAGCTAAATGGTAAGTGTTTTTTGTAATTCATAAGTTTAGCTATTGAAGTACATTTATAAAATGAAACAGTTTGCATCACAAGGCACAAGGATGTGTTTCCTTTTCTTTAGCCACTTTCCTTATGGCCACTGGTGAATGAGAGTATAATGGATGAAAGTACATTATTGTATAGCTAATGTGATATGCCACAATGATGAAAACAATTTTATACATAAAAATTCTCAAAATAGTAGGCCTACTATTTAATAATATTGACAAAACTACAAATTGTGCATTTTAAAGTTTAATCAACTTACATTTTAATATTGCTAACATTATACTTTTGTCTTTTCCTTGATTTGTTTACCCCCATCCACATAAGAACAGTCATGCATGAATCGTGTGATACTTTCCTTGAACAGTGTCTTGTGAAATCAAACCTTGATCCGAATTACATTTTCCTTGTTAACTTAACAGAAAAAAAGTTTGTACAGTAGATGTACAAGACAAAAATCAGTTAAAGTAATTTGATAAATAACATCTGATTTTATAATGAAAAAAGAGGTTTGCAAGTTTGTGCAGACCACGTGAAAAATTGTAATTTGAGCCACTTGATGATGCATCTTTTTTATAACTTATCACAGAATTAGAATTACCATGATCTAGACACTGTATGGGTTTTAGGCATTAAACCACCAAAGGACGCATTGCCATTTTAACATTATTCCTGGCTACTAAATACTCAGTCATCCTAAATCAAAATTTCACATAAACCAATCAAATGAAAATGAAAAATATGGCTGAAGGCTCGTGAATATATATATATATATATATGTGTGTATGTGTGTTTAAAGTTTTTTTTTGTTTTTTTTATTATGATATCATAAATAATGATATTATTTTATAATAACAAATAATTTTTTTGTATATTTTATGGCTTATTTTCTACTGTTAAATTGTTCTTTCACATTTATCTATATATAAAACTCAAAATCTCTCTGTATATTTGCTTGTTTCTCCACCACGTTCACTGTGCAGGTCACACTTTCCTCACATGTAGGAGCACAAAATGACATTTTTTTGTTGATATATGCATCTATCGTCTGCTACCAAACCTGTAATTTTATCATTAACATATACATTACACGAATAAATTCTATGCAGACTTGACAGTGTTTAGTAACTTTGAGTTAACATTTAATTTTGAATATAGCATTATAGGCCTGTTTAGTTATAGATCATTAACTATACATCTACTAATACATCATATATTTAACCTCACACACAAAAGAAATGTATGCAGAATTAGAATGTGTGTGAAAAAGCAAACAGTAGGCCTCATCCATTTTACTGTTCTGCCAGTATATGAAACTGAAATTTTTGTTTAGTTCCACTCTGCACCACTAAGAGCTTTACCTCTTGAGCAACTGGTGAAATTTCCTTCACATACCATAAGCCTTAGATGAACTCCCACATTACAAGTGTCTGTGTATTGTGCTAGCCTATGATATAATTATCATAATGCTGTACCCACCCCACCTCAGTATGCAGTAATCCCAGTGAGCACTAGCATATGATCATAGGCTGATTCTTTCTTTATCATTGCCTGTGTTCATGTGTGTTTTCTGTTGTGCTTCTTGAGTTTCTATGTCACTTTGATCAACTGCCCTTTTTCTACTCAGTGCTACATTACTTTTATCATTGTTGCACTTTTGTCACACTGGCATGTGACAGTCCCAGGATCCAATATGTATTGAGGTACTATGAATATCATGGCAGTATTAAATTACCATGATCTTGTAGGGTCGTGGTGAACCACGATATTCTGTTTCGTTGCTTGTGTGAAGCCTTCTTATGGACAATTTTAACCAGCTTTTCCTCCTATATTCTTTGCTTTTCGCTTCTATCTATCAAATTAGGAACAGGTTTTCTGTTTGATACACTTATATCACAGGTATGTGACTTTCTATCCTATTTTGCCTATATATCATAATGACTTTTTGGGCCACCTACAATCCCATGTCCACATTGATCATTGTATTCCTTGTTCTCCTCATCTTTGTGATTTTTTTGCTATAGCTTAAGTCATGACCTTTCTCTATTTTGTGAAACCCAATCTCTTGAGCTCCTTTTATCTGCTTGGGGCACTTCTCTTTCTCCTTCTTTGTCTCTTTTGTGCAATCCACTCATTTTCATATTATCTTTATTCCTGTTATTGCTATATGTTCACCCTTCACCTCATTACTGTGGCTCTTCATTGTGACCCCACTTGTTTTGTTGGAGCCACCCTTTTTTATTTGTTTACCCTCTTTTGCTTCTGTATCCTTTACTGTTTTTATTTTTACTTTATTTCTCTGTTCCTTGGATCTCCTTGGTATGGATACTTTCAGTTTTCTGCCTCCCTTCCTCTCCTCTACTTGACCTTAGTTTTGCCTCTTTTCTCACTGCACCAGTCTTTAGAAGTGTAACCGATTCCTTGGCTTCTTGGGCAGGAATTGCTTGCCTACAATCTTCCTTCAATTTCCTGGTTTTCTGACTCACTAAACCATGGATACCTCTATTGGCTACCTGATCTCAGTAGTTCCATGGGGCTACCTCCTCACCTGATCTTCATCTTATTACTTTTACTTGCTGTTCTTCTTCCTACTGGGTAGGCTATCAAGACCCTTGGTGTTAACTCTTCCTTGGAGCTGATTCTTGGCATTGGAACCTTTGGTGTTTACCTCTCCCTATTGCACACCTATAATTTCTCTTCAGTAGTGACCATTGGGTTGTGTAAGTTCATTCTTCATATCTGTCCCTGCTTTTTAGGGTGAGTCTGAACAACTGCTTTTTAATGTCACGTCCCTTCAAATTACACATACAGTAGCTTCTCTTTCGATGCCAATTGTTGATGGAGCTCTTGCAAGCTGGTATGTAAACTTCAAGTAACACATTAATCTCCAATTACTTACATCACTGGGTGGTTTCATGTGTCTTTAGTTTTTGCCTCTCTCTGATTGCCATTCTCCAGTCTACCAAGAGGTTCTAGTGTAGTGTGTTTTGCCTGTTGATTTTTTCATTTCAATCTTCATCACTGATCTTGTACGATTTCCATATCCTTGACACATTTCATGACACTATCTGGTGTATACAGTTCACTTTATAAACACTGTCAACAAAAAATCACACACACACACACACACACACACACACAAGGAAGCTAAACACTGTATATTTAACTTAACAGGAACCAAATAGAGAAACAAAAAAGTGCTCACATAACGTGGAACTAAATACTACACTATTTACATTTGGTGTCATCAGATCCCACCAAATGGTGTTTCCTCACATTCAGTACACTATTTACATTTGGTGTCATCAGATCCCACCAAATGGTGTTTCCTCACATTCAGTAGTAGAATACAGAAAGTGTTAAACCCATCCATCTCTGTTCAGTGTCCACTGTTGAGATGGTGTTTTCTGTAAGACTGTTTTGATGATATATCTATATAATTATCCTGGCCATTTTTATACCTTATATACACGCAGAATAACAACAAAATAATAACATATAAAAATCAAAACAGACAGCACCAGGAGCAGTCCTGCCCTTAAATCTGTCTCTTGCTTGCTGTTTTAAGTCATAGTTACCCAATCCACTGTCTCTTGATGGGAACCCAATTCTAGGTGATTGTGCCTGATGACAATGAACCATGCACACAAACTCTGTGTTCTCCCTTACATGTATTCCCCCCTTGGCAACATGTTATCAACAGCTCTGAATTATTCCTGGTTTCCTTTTCTGTACTATATCACTACAGAAAAACTTGGCAAAGAGTATTCCCTGCTTGAAAAAGTCTTCCACCAGGTAACCCAATCACCTTTCTTTTTCTGTTGCTATTTCAAAAAGGAACTTTTCATTTTATCAGTATTGGCCTCTTCACCATTTTCATTGTGGGATTCTCCAGCTCTTAGTGGTGTTGAGAGGTAAAATTTCCGAAGTTAACATTTTTCTTACCTGAAAATATATTTCAGATAGATAAATATGTCTCTGCACCACTTTTGGTGCATTTCATTTGCGTCATCAAGAATGAGCCTATTATCATGTGCTAGAGCTCATGGAGATTACTACTCATTGAGGTTGTGTCTTCCTTCTGTTGGGGGAGAGCTACAGCATAGACTGGTACAATACATTTAGATGTGTAGGGGTGGAAATATGTTCAAGGCTTGTGGCATATGCAGGAAATTCCATGGTAATAGCTTTCAGTAGTTTAGTGGTGCAGAGAGGTAAGTATCTGATGTTCATTTTCAGGTAAGAAAAATGTTAACTTTTGTGAGACATTTACCCTAAAACACCAACTTTTCTACAGGGGTTTCATTAAGAAAATGTAATGTTTATTATGTTTATAAAAAAAGATTAAAAACATCTATTTAATATTTTTAAAAGGTACGAAACAACAAAACATTTTCAAGGGGGTCAATACATTTCATTAAGAAATGTTGGATAACACTTGTTCTCATTAGTTATCTTTCCCCCATCTTTATTTCCAGCTGAACCAGGTAGTTAGGGTACTCAATTCACAATCTGCAGGTCATGGTTTCGAATCCCCATTTCACCAAACATGCTAACCCTTTCAGTTGTGGGGGCATTATAATGTGATGGTCAATCCCACTATTCATTGGTAAAAGAGTAGCCCAAGAGTTGGCAGTGAGTGGTGATGACTAGCTGCCTTCCCTCTAGTCTTTCACTACTAAATTAGGGACAGCTAGTGCAGATAGCCCTCGTGTAGCTTTGCGTGACCTTCCATAGAAACAAACTGAACCAATAGATAATGTCATACTGAAATCTTGTTTTTCTTTCTAATTTCATGATTGGTCAAAATTTGGATTATCATTTACATAAAGTATATCTTACAGCATGTGTTGGAAACTACCAAAAATGTGGTCAGTTAAGATGTTAATAAAAATAACCTTTGACCCCTGCTGAAATAGAATAGCTAATCCCTGCTTGTTGCAAAAGTTCACATGAATGCATACAATGCTGAACT